TAACATGCCAGCATTTGGTGGGCTGACCCATTTATTTCGATTCACTAATGTTCCACCCGTTTGGAAAAAGGGATTCACAGTGAAGCAAAAACGTAGATCAAATATTAAAAATGTGTCTATACCATAAGCACAAGTGCGTCTCTTTGTTAGAACGTCTTCATTGCTTTCCCAACAAAACAACCTTGAAATTAATATGAAACTTTTTATCAGTGGCGTGGCCATCGTAAGTGCCGCCGGAGGTTGGGAAAAAAAAAAGGGGGGGGGGCAAGATTGTGACCACCGCCAACTGTCATCTAGTCGTGTCGTGTCGGGGTTAGAGGTTGACACAGTTTTCACAGCACCTACTCGGACATCGGAGGAATGCACTACTGTCATACAGTGGCACCAGAAGACAGCTCTACTGTCATACAGTGGCACCAGAAGACAGCTCTACTGTCATACAGTGGCACCAGAAGACAGCTTACTGTCATACAGTGGCACCAGAAGACAGCTCTACTGTCATACAGTGGCACCAGAAGACAGCTCTACTGTCATACAGTGGCACCAGAAGACAGCTCTACTGTCATAAATGGCAGCAGAAGAATGTTCCAAATGTCATACAATGGCACTAGAAGAATGCTCTACAGTCATACATTGCCAATGCATAATATATTATAATGCGTTCTTATCACCACGCCATACCGATAGTTTACCGGGAGACTGAAGAGAGCACCCCATGACCACGACCCCAGCATAGTTTACCCGGAGACTGAAGAGAGCACCCCATGGCCATGACCCCAGCATAGTTTACCGGGAGACTGAAGAGAGCACCCCATGACCACGACCCCAGCTTAGTTTACCGGGAGACTGAAGAGAGCACCCCATGGCCACAACCCCAGCATAGTTTACCGGGAGACTGAAGAGAGCACCCCATGACCACGACCCCAGCATAGTCTACCGGGAGACTGAAGAGAGCACCCCATGACCACGACCCCAGCTTTGCCAGCCTTTTGTTCAGACGAAGACCAGAAGATAAAAAAAAAATGCGACCTTCAAGTCTGCGGTAATGTTTTATCATCCTCGATTAAAATGCAGCTCGCGTCAACTTCTGAACACGTGGGAAGAGAAACTTCAAATAGCTTTGTCGCGATTGACATCACAGCATCAAATGACAACACTGATGGAAAGTTGTGTGAAGTAGCTTCATCATCACTGGTGTGTGACTTGTGTCTATAGACGTATACCCCCCATGCGTTTAGTGTCAATATATTCATCACTAATGTTTCGCTGTCAAAAGATCTATCGACCGAAATTATTATTGTAAAAAATTTTTTTTTAAAAATGGAATTTTTTGTTGCTGTTGAGATTATCTCTAAGCCAGTCGTGACATTACATAACGATCACTTAGCGTGGGTGTATTATCACTAATGAACACATCTAACAATTGAAAACAACAGCAACAACAACAACAACAACAACAACAACAACAAAAATTCAAAAGAATTTGCACCTATTGACTGGGGAGTGTGTGTGGGGGGGGAGGGGGTTAATGGGGGGGGGAGGGGTGTAAAATGATAAAATACGTTGTTGAATGCAACTATAACAAACACCATGATGAACACCAGCAACGAAATGTTTCTGGAGCCAGCAGATCAAGTTATCAGTGTCAATTAGAACAACAGTTACGAATGATGATCTGAAGTATTGTGGTGTAAGCGTCTCCCCACGTTGTGTTGGGTGTTCCTCTGTACCTCATCTATCACGGCGTCGGAGGACAAAGTCGTGCCTTGAATCCATGTCTAGTATTTTGTTGTTTGTGACCAAAGACATTACGCAGCCGGTTTTATTCGGGTGGGTGGGGGGTGGGTGGGTGAGTGGATGGCGAGTTCGAATCAAAGCAATGCAAGCATATGGTTCAAATGAAATAACGTCATGAAATCTAATTGATGACGTCATTCAAGAGAATATATATATATATATATATATATATATATATATATATATATATATATATATTATATATATATATTGCCAAAACGAAAATAAACATAGCGGGTTTGGCGTCCTATGCAAAGAGTCGTAGACCCAGTTTTGATTTACTCCATCTCCGGGTTATGTATTAAACATAGAGCCAAAACAACAAAAACACCACAATCTCAGAAGCCATTGAAAGGAATACAGTCCAGAAAAAAAACAACAAAAAAACACAAAAAAACAAACCAAAAGCCAGCCTTGATAGCTCGCGTGAAGTTCACGCGCCGATCTAAAGTAACCAAACCAATGTTTGTCATTAACGTCTGCTCGTATTAGAAGGCCATTGCTTCCGTATCATTATTTGGTTGTTTGGTACAGACCCCCCCCCGACCCATGTCTCCCCCCAATCACCCACCCCCTCTTTCGGCTCAAAACAACGGCCTTGTCCCGTGGGGCTGTTCAACGTTAACACTCTTATAAATACAAGTTTCAGTCAAGTTTTTTTTTTTATTTTTTATTTCTGGACGTATTTACACCGAGTACAAACGTTGTTTGCCCTTCATGTGTTTCTTTAAAGTAGTTTTTTTTTTCCTTTGCCAAACGAACCGTGTTAGAGAACGACGACGACGCGAATCACGACACCAGCTGTCGTGTGTTGTTGGGGGACTAAAAGCGCTAAAACACGTGTTGAAAAAAACAACAACAAAAAACCCAACATCCGAGCGAACAAGAGAGCTGTAGAGATTACATTATTTTTCAGGTCATCAAATCCAAATGTTGTTCCCCGGTTGACGCAAGTTTTATACGCCCACGTGATATTCTTTTAAGAAACTTCTATTAAATTTTAAAAAAAACAAAAAAACAAAAAAAAACACCCTACCCAGCTAATCACGGAAGCAGCGTACACTCGCGTACACCAGGACGGTACACTTGTTAAGCCGTACATGTTATTTATTTGCCATAACTCGCCGTGCTTGTCGATGGTCAAGGTCAGATGCACTCGGGTCCGCGGCGTCCGTCAACAGTACAGGTAGGGTGGCCGCAGATGTTTAGGATTTGCCTCTGTTTGCCTAAGTCAGGCTGACCTCTTGTGTAGGTTTTATCAGGTGGCCGCTGGTGGCCTCTACCCGGTACAGTAACTACATGCAATCATTTGGTGATAGGGTGGGGAGCGCGATGATGCCGTGTCAATGTTCAGTTGCTAGGGTGGGGAACACGCTGATGACATGTCAATGTTCAGTTGCTAGGGTGGGGACTATGTTGATGACATGTCAATGTTCAGTTTCTAGGGTGGGGAACACGCTGATGACATGTCAATGTTCAGTTGCTAGGGTGGGGACTATGTTGATGACATGTCAATGTTCAGTTGCTAGGGTGAGGACTATGTTGATGACATGTCAATGTTCAGTTTCTAGGGTGGGGAACACGGTGATGACATGTCAATGTTCAGTTGCTAGGGTGGGGACTATGTTGATGACATGTCAATGTTCAGTTTCCATTGCCTACATTTATTGAACCTAGAAGTAATGTTGCTTTTGTAATTACAACAGTGTATTTTCATCCCATATTAGTTCATTCATTCCGGCGCTTAGCAATGTCCTCTGTGAACGGTGATCTGTGAAAGGTCATCTGTGAAAGGTCATCTGTGAACGGTCATCTTTTAAAGGTCATCTGTGAAAGGTCATCTGTGAACGGCCATCTGTGAACGGTGATCTGTGAACGGTCACCCGTGCCAGGTCATCTGTGATCAGTGACCTGGCAACGCTCATCTGGGAACGGTGATCTGTGAAAGGTCTTCTGTTCATATTTGAATTATATTTTAATTTTCAGCTCTCCTTAATGTTCACAATTTAACATTCATTTCTTCCTATAATGTGTACTATTTAACATTCCTTCCTTCCTATAATGTTTACTATTTAACATTCCTTCCTTCCTATAATGTGTACTATTTAACATTCCTTCCTTCTATTAATATTTACGCTTTAACATTTATTCCTTCCGATGACGTTTAATATTTGATATCCACTCTTTGCTACACTGTTTACTATTCAACATTTATGCCTACAATAATGTTGACTTGTAGCATTCCTTCTTTCCTACAATGTTTACAATTATATCTTCAATGCCGTTCTTTCGTCGATACAAAATTTCACTTATCTAAATTTTTCTCCAGACGAGAAAGTTATTTTCTCAGGACCATCATCGATGAACTCTGCCCCAATGACCTAAGCCTATCTTTGTCCACATTTACTTGTATTTTCTTCACATATTTCACGGACCTAAAGTTCCTTAGACAGAACTGGAGGACCCCATAAGTGAAACCCTTCACATCACAGTATCTTCTCATCCTACATTTTATCCATCTGCAATTTAAAAAAAAATCATACTTCTGCTATAAAAAAGACATTTAATTGACGCCCCCCTCTCTTCTTTACATAATTCTTTTTCAGTTTTAATTCCTTTGATGGCCTTTGTATCATTTTGCTTGTACAAATTTTAACTTAAGTTTAACCTAAACTGCAAAAAAATGTCAAATCTTACATACACTTGGTAGGGCAAGGCAACCAAGTTGTGCGTGTAAAATACTGTCCGTTTGGAGCTCCAAGTCAAATACTACTGCCAGGTCATTTAAAGGACAATCCACCCATTGCATCAAAGCTGATCATCTAGCTAAATGTTCTGTTTTTCGCGTTTGGTGCGTACGTGTTCAAGCGGCAGCGGGGAAGCAGCGAACGAGACCGCAGCACGGTGCGCAATGAGAGCGCGTGGATAAGAAAGATCCACTCTTGAATTATTATTACATATTCTTGTACGTTTAAAATTATATTGAACCTTCAGTCATGAAGTTCGGTAAATATTTCAGTGTTCTTGCCTTCGTTAAATTCATTTAATTTGAAAAAAAAGAAGATTTTTTTCCTTCATTTCAATGGACATTTAGTAGCAGTACAGCAGCCTTAAGAAGAGGAATTGAAAAAAAAATCCTTTCTCCAGTACGTTGTTCGCGGGTCTCTACTGTTTAATGCGAAGCGAGTATCGCCCTCTGGTATAGATTTCCGTACATGAAGCGGGGTTACCTCGGCACTGCTCTATTTCTGGTACTGTAGTTGAAAGACGTGTTTCCGACAGACCTTCAATGTTGCTTTGATGAAACATATGCACTCTAGAAATCTCCATTTCAACCTCTGATTCAGGTAGGGATATTTTTAATTTTTCCTTTTAAAAAAAAATAAAAAAATAAAAAAAATTAACATCTCAGAGCTTTTCAAACGATCGATCGGTATGATTTTAATATCTTTCAATAGCGTTGTGTTCTATGCGTTCTGTAACAGTATATTTTTTTAAAATTTAAAAAAAAGTGCAACACGTATGTGTTTAAGTTCATTAAAAAATTAATTTCTGTTACAAATGGAATTTCTATATCACCGTTGTGTATTTTTCAAACTCGTTAAACTGTCTTCCGAAATGCTTGATTTTTTCAGGTGGAGAATGTATCTTCAAACAAAAATCGACCTTGAGAGGAATTTTAGGCTCAATACTGCAAGATCTTTTCTTAGACAAATTTTTAAAAATAAAAGTAAGTATCTTACACACCCCAACGTCTTAACAAACTGCCCTACGTATTCTGAAGGGATTAGAAGCTTGGGCTCCATGAGGTCAGAAATCACATCACCAGTATTAAAAACATACACTGGCACAAAGTGGCACAAACAGTTGCAAAGGCAGCCGCAGTAAATCATGTCCTAGTACAGTGGTTCTCTCAACCCTTCTAATGCCGTGACCCGTTAATACAGCAGCTCCTCATCATGTGGCGACCATCAACCATAAAATTACCGTATTTCCGTCGCTACTTCATAACCATGTGTTTTCTTTTATACACTAAATTCCACCTACTTTATTTCTTTCTGTATTCATATTTGTAATTCTTTTCTTATCATGTTTTAATTCTTTTCTTATCATGTTTTAATTCTTTTCTTATCATGTTTGTAATTCATCTTATCATGTTTGTAAAGGACTTGTGCCAAACAAAGACCATAATTTTCAAAATTTAAAAAAAAAAATAAAAAAAAATAAATAAATAAATAAATAAATTTCAAATAAAATGTATGCTAATTATATGTCTCAGCAGGTTTGCAATTGTGACATTGTTGACACCAGTGTAGTGTCTCAGCAGGTTTGCAATTGTGACATTGTTGACACCGGTGTAGTGTCTCAGCAGGTTTGCAATTGTGACATTGTTGACACCGGTGTAGTGTCTCAGCAGGTTTGCAATTGTGACATTGTTGACACCGGTGTAGTGTCTCAGCAGGTTTGCAATTGTGACATTGTTGACACCGGTGTAGTGTCTCAGCAGGTTTGCAATTGTGACATTGTTGACACCGGTGTAGTGTCTCAGCAGGTTTGCTATTGTGACATTGTTGACACCGGTGTAGTGTCTCAGCAGGTTTGCAATTGTGACATTGTTGACACCGGTGTAGTGTCTCAGCAGGTTTGCAATTGTGACATTGTTGACACCGGTGTAGTGTCTCAGCAGGTTTGCTATTGTGACATTGTTGACACCGGTGTAGTGTCTCAGTTAGGGTGCCTTTGATCCGTGCTGCGGAAAACCCGGCGTGATGAAGTGTGTTTATTTTCTACATGACCGCTCCTTTCCCTGGGACCATACAGCTCCGACGTGCTGGAATACTGTGAGGTCTTGCTTGTTTACACCTCAGGGCGATGCGTCCATCTGCTCAGATCAAGTCACGATACCTACCTGCATGCCCGTGTGACCTTTACACGTGATTATAACAATAGACAAGATTATTTCTCCCGTCTGGTATGTTTTCACTATCGATGGAGCACTCGAAAGTCGAGAGCCTAAATGGTGTGCAAGTGTTGGTGCGCATGTGGTCCTTTTGTATTGCCGAGCGAAATGGCACTTCGTTTTCAATAAGATGCGCTCTTTTAGCGGAATAATGTGTAGAACTTTCGTGAAAGAACCCTTTTATAGGTTGAGGCTGACTCTCAGAAAATAGGGACATATGATTTCAGAGTGCATACAACTGTTTTCCGTCTGATGCAAATTACACTTATTTCATGATTGTTTATGTTTTAATGTTTGAAAAAGCAATCTTGGATGCACTTTGATGGGTGTAAAAATGAAATGAATGTCTAATAAATTCTTTATATGCATTTTTTAAAATTATTTTATATCAATATTCAAATTTCCAACTCGCTTTTACGCCACAGATTAAATTCACAAACTATTTAAAAAAAAAAAAAATGGAAAAAAATTACACCCAAACACAGTTTGCGATATTTGTGTGTGTGTGTGTGTGTGTTTTTTTAAAAAAGAATCTCATATAACGCAGTTATCGGGGATTTAATGTCGTGAAATCAGTGTCATCATATTTCCTTCATCTTCAGGAAAAACTTATTTTGTGGGGCTGGGGTGGGGCTGACTGATAGAATGTTTTGTCATCTGCAACGGGTCCATGTGGCAAGTTTCAGCTCGATGGGTTGACGGGGAATGGGTCATTTAGCCGTCTGAAGATTTTGCCACCCATCCAGAAAGAAACGCACGAGCAACAGAGAAGTTAATATAAAGGTTTTGAAAATATTCATTGTCAACAAGGTACGATTAATAAGTAAAGAAGATAGCTGCCATATTACTGCACAACCTCTGAACAGTTATTTGACATGATCCCAGAGTTGTGTACCTTGTGCAATCTCCCGGACGAGAGTTCAAGAAATAACATCACATTTTTTTTTTTTTTTACATCTAACACTGCAAACACTGCAAACACTGCAAACAGACAGGAAACTGAGAAGCAGATCACCGGTTCTCAAATTTTGCGCGGTGCATTCTTCAATGTCAAAATTCCAGTCTACACTTGTCTATCTCAATAAAACAAATTTGAGCAGTCCACCATTTCCGCATTTCTTCTTTTTTTTTTCTGGGCCAGACAGCTGACAGGACCGGCTCTTCTTAGACAGACAGCTGACAGGACCGGCTCTTCTTAGACAGACAGCTGACAGGACCGGCTCTTCTTAGACAGACAGCTGACAGGACCGGCTCTTCTTAGACAGACAGCTGACAGGACCGGCTCTTCTTAGACAGACAGCTGACAGGACCGGCTCTTCTTAGACAGACAGCTGACAGGACCGGCTCTTCTTAGACAGACAGCTGACAGGACCGGCTCTTCTTAGACAGACAGCTGACAGGACCGGCTCTTCTTAGACAGACAGCTGACAGGACCGGCTCTTCTTAGACAGACAGCTGACAGGACCGGCTCTTCTTAGACAGACAGCTGACAGGACCGGCTCTTCTTAGACAGACAGCTGACAGGACCGGCTCTTCTTAGACAGACAGCTGACAGGACCGGCTCTTCTTAGACAGACAGCTGACAGGACCGGCTCTTCTTAGACAGACAGCTGACAGGACCGGCTCTTCTTAGACAGACAGCTGACAGGACCGGCTCTTCTTAGACAGACAGCTGACAGGACCGGCTCTTCTTAGACAGACAGCTGACAGGACCGGCTCTTCTTAGACAGACAGCTGACAGGACCGGCTCTTCTTAGACAGACAGCTGACAGGACCGGCTCTTCTTAGACAGACAGCTGACAGGACCGGCTCTTCTTAGACAGACAGCTGACAGGACCGGCTCTTCTTAGACAGACAGCTGACAGGACCGGCTCTTCTTAGACAGACAGCTGACAGGACCGGCTCTTCTTAGACAGACAGCTGACAGGACCGGCTCTTCTCAGAGAGACAGCTGACAGGACCGGCTCTTCTCAGAGTAAAAAAAAAGAAAAGGGTTTATATCTTAGCATCGAATAAACAAATATATGGTACAATGACTTCAACTAATAAACCAAACCCAGTTTGTTTTTGTGTGTGTGTTAAATAATAGTTTCACAGTCTTCAAAGACAAGTCGGTGAAATGAACTGGTTTTGTTTCGTAAAGATGAGGATCCGCCAAAACCAAATATGAAATAAAATTCACAACTTATCATTGAGAGATTCAGGGGGTGGGGGGGGGGGGGGGGAAACGCATCCTTAAATCTTACAAAGGCTTTTATTTTGTACCAAAATGGAGAAATGTTGAGTTTTTCTACCCTTGTAAACTTCCATGAATATGTTACTGACCACGAAGCGGGACCAATCTCTTGACTTTGGTCCAATCCGAGATATCTTATCTCAATCAGGACGGAGAGACCTCTGATCCCTTGTGGGATTTGGGGGGGGGCGGGCGTTGATGCTGTGTAAAGTGAACACATAGTGCTAGCTCCTGGAATGTTCGGTAAGAAACATCTCATGTGATTCGACCATCACATCTTTGGTTTGTCGGGACAGCTGTGGGTGGAGAGGATATTTGGATGGAGAGAAGAGAGAGGATTGTGTGTGGTGAATACCGACTTACCTATTTCAACACGGAAGCCTTTTTTTTCCCCTCCAATTCACCGTTGGACATCAATCTACATGCTTGTACATTTTTTTTTTACCTGTAGCAGATGGGTCCACTATTTACATTTGTGTTCTCCATTGTTCTCGTTTATAGTAAACCTGTTTATCCCCAAAGCCTGGTCGGTTACATGAAGAGTTACAGGTTTTTGCACTTTTATCCAGGGTAACTTCTCCGAAAGTAAACCAGCTTCGGAGGTTTTTAAATATTTAAATCCCAATGACGTCACATGAAGACTTTCTCCTTCCATTTATTTCGGGTTGGTAATTACGTAAAATCCCCCCCCCCCACACCAAGGGTTCTTAAAATAGATTCCTAACACACAAACTAACCTAACATATGTCAACTTAACGAGACTTTCAGCCGTAACCGAAGCCGAAACCAAAAGCTTAACGAGACTTTGGGTCGAAACCGAAGCCGAAACCGAAATATTTAGATATTTTGATTTTCGTTCAAGCATACATTTTGCACGCATCGAAAAATGATGGGGAAAGGATTTTAAAAAAATGAGATCCTCGTGAATATTAATAAATAAACATCTATTGGAGGCTCTGGCTTTGACCATTTGAATTAAAAAGTAATTTACATTTGGTACAAATGTATTTTAAAGGTGTATGGTCAGAGAACAATTTGGAGTCGGGGCAAAATTCATACAGAATAGACCATTGCGTTTTCTTTGCTTTAATAATTTTAATTACCATGCTGCTTAGACACACGTCTACATTAATTATTGTGGCTCTAATAGAGCCAATGGTCACCTAAATATCATTTATTAAGGCTATAAAAATATCGCCAAAAAGTTTCGCGGTTATTGTCACACTAGTGCTTTGTGTTTTCATAAATGGCTGGCAAGATATCGCTGTATTTATATTTAGCTTAGTACCAACACATTATTCTTTCCGTGCTGGTGACGTAATTATTTCTTTCGGTGAACAACAGCCTCCCCCCCCCTCCCTTTTGGGGGGCGACATATTTTTTTTTAATCCGGGTCTGTTAAAATTGAATCGCAAAAGCCATTTACATTGGTCGCCAAAATCATAAAAGTATTCAGTTCTGCAGCAGGCCTACTACATAATTATAAAACGAACCCGTGATACATTTACACGTATGTCATTTCATCAATAACAATGTTTATGTGCATGATAAAGCTACATTTCAAGAAAAATCGATTGAAAAGCCGAAGTTACCTTAATTTTTATTTAAAAAAAAAAAATAAAACAAAAAATAATAATGGAAATATTACCAATCCTTAGGATTATTCAATATTCTTAACCTATGCCCATGACAACATGAGCACGATAATGATAAATCAAAATGAGTATCACAAATGAATGAATGAGTTGAATAAACCTATGGTTCCAAATTGTATTTTTGAAAAAAATTAAAACAAAAATAATGATATAAATATTGCCATTCCATTAGTTTCTCTTCAACTAAACTAGACATTCCATCTATTTACATTTGACTAGGCTTAATTTAAATTTAATTTTTTGGAAATAAAGGACGAGTAGGTCTTCATGCAGCTGTGAGCATTTTTTCCAAGAGTATTAATCGTATAACATACGATGACAGCAAGAGGTCGAGCAATAAGGACTATCGGATTGCCAGCCTAGAGACAGACAGTCTGACTTTTGGTAGTTGACCGAAAACCTCAACCACTTTCAGCCACATGAACGAAAATCTCAATCGTTCTCGGCCGAAACCGAAATTAAACCGAAACCTAAATTTCTGCTTCGGCTGAAACCAAAATTAAACCAAAAGTTAACTATTCTGTTTCGGCCGAAACCGAAACTAAAACGAACGTGATGAAATAGCCGGTCGGTCTCTAATTCAATGAAAGACTGTAGGAAGTCGAAGTGCTGTAACGTCGTATGTTACATGAATACATTTGTACACTATACATGCATTTTGGCGGTTGTGTTCCATCACTAACGGCTTGGTGGGGGGGGGTCTTAAATCAGGTGTGTGTGTGTGTGGGGGGGGGGGTTAATTGCTAGGGGGGGTCCGAAGATACATAGATTTTTAGGTCTTAAATCAGGTGTGTGTGTGTGTGGGGGGGGGGGTTAATTGCTAGTGGGTGTCCGAAGATACATAGATTTTTATTTTCTGCCATTGCTAGTTGTTGATACCTGTCCAGAAAATCTTGTTAATTGGCATCTTGACTAGCTGGACATCATTAGATTGTTTGTGAGGCGTTTCTTTGTGCATTATTTGTACTTGTGCATTTCTTGTCGTGTTTCTAACAAGTCAATTAAGAAAGGATAATTTCAATAACAGAATTAATTTTTATTTTATTTAGTTAATTATATTTTATTCGTACAAAAAGTGAAGTGGGGGGTGGGGGGTGGGGGTGAGTGCTGGTAATGTTATGAAATCCGCTGTCCACAAAGGCTAAGAACCGCTTCCATGCTTTACGGGGACTCAATTGTTCAAATGCTTGATTCCACCTACGCAGTCCCCCATTCGCTACAGAAAAAAGGAACCCTTGTTGTAGAAACATACGGTACCTTCGCATGTAGGGCGCCCCCACAGAAGGATGCCCGCATTCCTAGACTGATAACCTTTTGAACTGACGTCAAGAAAACGCACGAGCAATTGACGTCACAGTTGCGGGCAGGTTTTACGGGAGGGGGGGGTTGGTGGTAACGTTCACTTTTTTCAACTAAGCCGGATCTTTCTTGGGTTAAAGTTTGGAAGGGGGGGGGGTGTGGAGCTCGTCAGATATCTGGTTGGGTTGGGTTGGGGTCAGATATCTGATTAGGGTGGGTGGGAGGTCAGATCCTTGCATTAGGAAATGCAACGTGTCATAGCTGGATGTCAATAGTGACAAAATTGCCTTCAATTTATTTCACTATTAAAGCCCTTGAACAAATATAATCTTTGATTATTCGTACCCACAGTGAATCTCACATCCAACCCCTCCCCTCCCCCAACCAACGTATACAGTATCAAACTCCCAGATTTGGTTTGAGAGTGCACCCGCCATTTTCGACCTTTAGCTATCGGCCCAGATATTCCATATTTACTTTATTACCCCACCAATTCCAGCGCCATCTGTCGTCATGCGTATTCTGTTGATATCATAAATACATACAGGCCGCGTCATGGTTTTAAAATGTCAAACAATCCATTTTTTTACACCGTCTTGCGTTTCCCAATACACTTAGAAATGTAGGGTTAGATTTTTTATTATATTTTCCAGCCCTCGAAGTTGCAAGCATTCCCGGGTTATGCTCTGAGATTTTCTCCGCAAGGGACTCGATAGGTAAAAGGCGCACCTGTGATCAGCATTCTGCGGTGTTGGGGCATATTTGACATTTAGCTCAAATAGATCAGACACCTTGACTAAGATTCATTGGTGAAGCTCTATGATATGGGCCAAGGAGTCGAACACATGATAGTTACGGCAGAGAAGCCAAGTGAACGACTCCGGTACCTCATCAGAAAATATTGCCGTTTGATAAAAAAATAATAATAAACTTGCAAATGACGTCACGTGTTAAAAAAAACTTTTATTATACTTTTTCTTTATGTTTAGTATACTCCCAGAAGTATTCCATTTAAGTATTTGCGATCACCCGATAATGAGGATATCAGTGGTCAGCGATCTGTAGTAAATTACCCCAAATGGGGTAAAAATGGGAACTTTCGGAGTAATGAGATCTTTATAAAATTAATATTTAAAACGTTTTTAATTTTTTTCTAACAAAAACATTTTCCTGGCAACACCTCCCCTGGACAGGGTAGTTTAGATAGGAACTCAAATGTTGTAGTTTCAAAAGCCTTGGCAGCTAGCATAACCTAACGTCTCGCGTTTTAACAAACTCATTTCGCCTATAGTCACCTATGGCATCTTATGTTTAACCCTTTCCAGACATCTCCGTTTACCTCCTCTGTGGCATGTCTGGTGACGCACTGCTCTCATTTCAACCTGCTCTCGTGGTACCCTTCTCTGGTGACACACTACTCTTATTACAACCTGCTCTGGTGATATCCTTAACTGGTGATACACTGCTCTAATTGCAGCCTGCTCTGGTGATACGCAGCTCTCGTGACACACTGTTCTTATTTCAATCTGCTCCGGTGATACTCAACTCTGGTGACACACTTCTCTTATTGCAACCTGCTCTGGTGGTATCTAACACTGGTGACACACCTTTCGTATTGCAACCTGCTCTGTTGGTACTAAACTCTGGTGACACTGCTCTTATATCAGTCTGCTCTGGTGGTACCCTACTCTGGTGACACACTGCTCTTAATTCAACCTGCTCAGTTGGTACTCATCTCTGGTGATACACTGCTCTTATTTCAGCCTGCTCTGGTGGTACCCTACTCTGGTGACACTTGCACCCTGCTCTTGTATTAAACTTTGCTGTTTAATGAAACCGACTTGATCGATTGCTGTCAAATTTACTGTTTTTCATTTGGTGTTATCTCCCTGTGAGGATGTCATCCCCCTTTGAGGGTGAAAACTTGATATTATGTTTTGTCATTGGTAACGAGTCTATAAGCCTAGGTTCAGCTCAATAGGTTGACAGGAAGTGGGCCGATTAGCCATCCGGAGATTTTTTCCACCCAGCCAGAAACATATGAACAAATGCTAAGTTGATATAAAGGTATTTAAAGATACGCATATAATGGTGCGCATGGGAAGAACAGAGTAGAAATGTGAATACATTCGCGCGGTAGTTTTGTGTGATAAACACCACTGAAATACTGAATGTCATGACAAAGTTAAACATCAAATAATAGATTCAACAGACTAAAACGTTTAGCATGAAAATCTGGTCAAGGAATAGAGAGTCTACAGGCACCCGAGAGATTTAATTAGACAAAGTTTTAATAAAATAAAGCTTTGAGATCAGCTTCAATAGTGAGATTAGCGTCAATAGTGAGATCAGCTTCAATGGTGTGATCAATTCAATAGTGAGATCAGCTTCAATGGTGAGATCAATCAATAGTGAGATCAGCTTCATTGGTGAGATCAATCAATAGTGAGGTCAGCTTCAACAGTGAGGTCAGCTTCAATAGTGAGGTCAGCTTCAATAATGAGATCAGCTTCAATGGTGCGATCAATTCAATAGGGAGATCAGCTTCAATGGTGAGCTCAATTCAGTAGTGAGATCAGCTTCAATGGTGAGATCAATCAATAGTGAGATCAGCTTCATTGGTGAGATCAATCAATAGTGAGGTCAGCTTCAACAGTGAGGTCAGCTTCAATAGTGAGGTCAGCTTCAATAATGAGATCAGCTTCAATGGTGCGATCAATTCAATAGGGAGATCAGCTTCAATGGTGAGCTCAATTCAAAAGTGAGATCAGCTTCAATGGTGAGATCAATCAATAGTGAGATCAGCTTCAATGGTGAGATCAATCAAGAGTAAGATCAGCTTCAATGGTGAGATCAATCAATAGAGAGATCAGCTTCAATGGTGAGATCAGGTTCAATAGTGAGATCAGCTTCGATGGTGAGATCAATTCAATACTGAGATCAGCTTCAATGGTGCGATCAATTCAATAGTGAGATCAGCTTGAATATGTTCCTTTTTCGCAGAGGAAGATTGTGTTGTGAAACAATCTTTCTTTGTTTTTGTTTTTTGAAAGTTACGCGTTAAACCAAAGAAAGACAAGCACTTTTAAACAACAAAATACTGTGAACGATCTAAGCCTCTCTGCCAATGTAACGACCGCCGATCAATCTTCTAACACAATTACCACCTGCCAGCATCCGACAATAAAGATTGTCCATCATTTACTTGAAACAATAAGGGACATGTGCACTGTAAGCCTTATCAGCCATTTCTTCACAAGGCAATTATGGTTACCCAAAAGGTCGCAATTGAATTACGCGCCCTAGTCTCTCTTTATCTTCTGATCTGTGATGGGTTAATGCTCTCAGTGTTGCACGGGGAAATGAGAGGTGGTGGTGTTGTTTGTTGTTGTTTTTTTGATGGCATCGTACCTGCCGCAATACCGATGTCCACGAGGTAGATGGTATTTTTCTGAAATATCGCAGCGAGGATAGAAAATATTATTATCTATCAGCTCAAACTATGTGGTCCAGATCCTGGGCCAGTGTCAAGGTAAAATAATTGATATGTGTAGTGTAAGAGTAACACACCATCAGTTCTATAGACTCTGGCATTGGTTCATTTTTAAGGCAGGCGCGAAATGTAATTTTTTAAAAGAATATTTGCACATTACTATGCAAACAATACCTTCACTAGGACAGTCGCGATAAGAAAAAAATGGGGGTGGGGTTGGGGCGAAAGAGGAGGATAAGTTATACATAGTATATTCAAAACCTGGTCGAAACATTAAATGTTTACTGAATAGAATACAAATTCGTTTAAATCATGAATGATCCTTGGATGTCCCCCCCTCCCCCCTCTGTCACAACCCACCACAACCGATCCCAACCCATTAAACCCCAGTCCCATCCATTACTCACCAGTACCATCCATTACACCCCGGTACCATCCATTACACCCCAGTACCATCCATTACTCACCAAGTTTCCGCTCGCACCATCCATCACATCCTCAGACGTGCCTGCAACGTCTTATCACAACCCCAGGTGACCCATTACGGCTTTTTGATCATCTCTCCCCCGGGTGCCCCCCACCCTCTCCCCCTCCATGCCCATTAAGACTTATTTTCACCTAAAGGTCAGATATGTGTTGGCAGCAAACACTAACAATCTGAACGAACAGACCGGATACAGATTGCTGCGGTGGTCTACAATGAAAGGAAGTGAGACTGCTGGTGGATTCTCTTTCATTACATTCTTGCCGGCCATACGGTTGTGCCGGCCAAACGGTTGTGCCGGCCATACGGTTGTGCCGGCCGTACGGTTGTGCCGGCCATACGGTTGTGTCGGCCATGCGGTTGTGCCGGCCATACGGTTGTGCCAGCCATACAGTTGTGCCAGCCATACGGTTGTGCCGGCCATGCGGTTGTGGCGGCCATACGGTTGTGCCAATACGGTTGTGTCGGCCATGCGGTTGTGCCGGCCATACGGTTGTGCCAGCCATACGGTTGTGCCAGCCATACGGTTGTGCCGGCCATACGGTTGTGTCGGCCATACGGTTGTGCCGGCCATACGGTTGTGCCGGCCGTACGGTTGTGCCGGCCGTACGGTTGTGCCGGCCGTACTGTTGTGCCGGCCATACGGTTGTGCCGGCCATACGGTTGTGCCGGCCATACGGTTGTGCCGGCCATACGGTTGTGCCGGCCAGCGGTTATGCCTATGGTATCTAGATAATATTGACTTATTACCAGGGGAAAATTCATGTGTTTTTTGCCTACGCTTTTTAAATAGGGTGCTTTGGAATTTTGTTGGTTTGTTTTGTTTGTGGTGGCGTCATGCATCTCAATTTCGACCAACTTACCGAGGTCCAATTAAACTGAAACTTTCTACATTTACCAACCCCCCGATGACAATACAACATTCAGTGATCAGCTTTTCGACACTGGATTTTTCCACCGACGTTTGACTGACGTTCTGCGGTTACCTCAGCAACGGCAAGTGATAGGTACATCTGGTTTTCACTTCAGCGCGTCCTCGTGTGTGTTAACTCGCTATCTCAGCAACGGCAAGTGATAGGTACATCTGGTTTTCACTTCAGCGCGTCCTCGTGTGTGTTAACTCGCTATCTCAGCAACGGCAAGTGATAGGTACATCTGGTTTTCACTTCAGCGCGTCCTCGTGCGTGTTAACTCGCTCCCGACAACCTTCAACGCTGAGGAACACATTTTTTTACCCCAGCAATGTCACCGCTTTGACGTGTTTGTATTTCAAGGGCGCCCACGCGGTTTCATGCATAATTTTCAAACCACCTGTTGATCCCTCATTACATCTTCCAAGATTAAAAAGAATAAAATAAAAAAAATAAAAAATAAAAAAAGAGACTTCAAATTAAAAAAAAGATATTTTAAAATACGCTTTTCCAAAAATGCACTAAAAATCATAAAATAAATGTCCCGCGAAACGTCAGAGTTGTTACAGTCATATGACTTTAAAAAGCGTGGTGCGCCATTGAATTGCAATCATGTCGTATGACTTGACAAATATAATGTTTGACACATGTAGACGTTTCCATAGCTGGAAGTTATTGTTATGTGACACAATTTTTATGATACAGATTATTCAATCATGGAAACGTGCGTTCTCACAACTGCCTTGCCCTACTGTTGTATGCTCCCAACGATCGTGATCTTGACAAGTGGGATGAGATTAGCGATACCGCTGCGGGCGTGTCTTTGCGATTTGCAAAGAACATTGAATAAGTGGGCGTCCCAAGCAATTTTTAGGTCTTATTTAGATGTCTAAGATTAAAATTAACTGGCTATTATTGAATAATAGATTGGCCTGAATTACGAGCTCTTAAATCAGTGCATTCGTTGTCTATATATTCCCAGCTGCCGACGACTGGTTTACTTTCTCTGACTTCCACGTAACCTACACGTCATCTCCGTGAAGCTGCCATATTTTAGACTCTACAGTGGATTAATAGACTTTGAGATTCATCTGTAAGACTTATATTCTCCCACACCCTTCCCACTCGCTTCAATGTTGGATCAGGTATTTCTTACAATCACTTTCAGTTAACACTGCGTTCAATGTTATGCGTATGACGTACGATGTTTCTCACTAAAGCATCAAGTTAAGACTGCTCTTTGAATGACACCACTGAGACGATGACAGAAACATTGTTAGACACTAAATGATTTATGAACAACCGCGTGAGGAACCACGTGACACCTGTGTTATTCCCCCCCCCCTCAAACCCCCAGACCTCTATAAGAAACAATGAAGATGTACGGTTGCATTAATAGATATTTTATTATCGCTACGCATAGGTGGCCTCGTCATACACTTCTGGATTGGAGCCGATGTAGGAGAATTAATTCTAGCAAAAATGTTCAAGGTTGTTATGACGATCCTCTGGAGACTCGCCTTGAAACTTGGCTTTAATGCACCAAGACTGCGGAGAATTTTACCGAAAACAAACTGTAAATTTTTTAGAACATTGGGGCTTATCATAAATTTGAAATGAACGATTTAAATTTCATAGCATTACCATATTAGGTTTAAAAAGCATTCAAGAAACTGTTGGTCTATTCATTGAGCCCAATGAATGTGATTTTTTAAAAATCATAATTCTATTGTCTTCTTAAAGTTCTTTAATTGTAAAGAGAAATAAATAGTGCATTTTGACTTCGTAAATGTTTTGTGGAGTAGGGAGATTTGGTGTGTTTAGGAAGTGTGCTAGGGTCTGTGTGTTAGAGGAGTGTGTTAGAGGTGTGTACGTTAGGGAGTGTGTTAGGGGGTGTGTTAGGGTGTGTGTTAGCGGGTGTTAAAGGGGAGTGAGTTCGGGTTGTGTTAGGGTCTGTGTTAGGCGGGTTTGTTAGTGTGTGTGTCAGGGAGCATGTTAGGAGGTGGGTCAGAGGCGTGTTATGGGGTGGGCTAGGGAGTGGTATTTAATGTAAAAGGTCTTCCATAGAATTTAATCGCTTTCTAAGCTATGTTCATACTCCAAATAGAAACGATTAAAAAAAAACAACAACAACTGTTTGACGCTATAAGAGCACCCAAAAGCATGCTGTTACGTAACGTCAGATGGTTTAGTAACTTAATCTGTTTTAAAACTGGGCTCTTTAGAAGAACAACACGTAGCGAAGGACTGAACAACCATATTACAAAGAAAACATTAAAAAACCAAACTAGTAGTACTAGCAAATTGCAATTTGATTATAGTATTACGTTTCTATACAAGTACAACATTAAATATGCAGAAAGAATTTAAAAAAAAACAACTATATTAAAGTATAGCAAAGCAAGTGAAAAAGTGTAGTCCTCGAAAGAGAAAAATATTAACACACACACACACACATACACACACGCACACGCACACACGCACACACACATCCACAAACACACACAACTAAAAAAATATACTGTAAGTATTTTAGGGCTCTTTTTAAAATCTGTTTAGTCTCGTAATTTGTCTCGTGTATAGTAAATCTAGCAAATCTGTTCACTCTTAAGTATTCGCCATTTTGAATTGATATTATGATTTTTTTGCAAATAATACAATTGAAAAAAAAATTCCTTACCCTATACAACGTCTAAAATTTAAAGGTGAAAAAAAAAAAAATTGCCAGATTTTCAAGTATGAAAAAATGTAATTACCAAAGAGCCTAAACTGGTCAAAAAGTGAACACTGCGTCTTGCCTCCCGATAATTCAATGGATGTCGTGGTCAAAAAGTGAACACTGCGTCTTGCCTCCCGATAATTCAATGGATGTCGTGGTTGAAAAGGGGAAGCTGTTCCGTGGTACAAGTACAATAATGGAATTGAAAGACTTTTTAGACTGTATCAGAGGCGGCTCCGGCGAAAACTGAGTGCTTAGGGGAAATTTATTTTTTAAAATCTTATGTAACATGGGAAGGGGTAAAATTTGTATAGATAGTAAATGGAGTTTCCTGAGAACGGTTCAGGGCAGACGAAAACTGAATTAAGAGGCTTGAGTAAATCAGATGAAATGTTGTTTAGTTTTTGGCTGAGAGTTTGTAAGATCGAGTACAGTCGTGAAGTATGTTAGATTTGGTACGATCGTGACAGTATGTAAGATTTAGTAGGGTATTGAGAATATGGACGTTTAGTATGCTATTGAGGGTATACATGTGTAGTATGCTATTGAGAGTATGCATGTTTAGTATGGTATTGAGGGTATACATGTTTAGTATGCTATTGAGAGTATGCATGTTTAGTATGGTATTCAGGGTATACATGTTTAATCTGGTATTGAGAGTAAACATGGTTAGTTATGGTATAGAGAGTACACGTGCTTAGTAAGGTATTGATAGCATTCAACATTACAGTCACATGTCTCATAAAGCTTGAGCTGGAAAATCAATTTATTGTTGAAATCCACAAAGCAAGAGAGGCTGTATCAGCCGGTGACATTGAGTTCATTCATAGCCAGCGTTCGGCGTTTAGAGGACAGAGTTGCGATACAAATAATAACACCGATATTTCCAGCAATAGTCATATGTATTGCACGTCAATGATCAGATAACAATAGCCGGTCATGGCCTCTGCGGAGAGCCGAAACCGTACATCCTTTATATCTCCTGCCGTTATTTCTATGGCGTAACCAATAAATTTGTCCAGTAGATAATTAATGAAACAAACTATCTAAGGCTGTAAGAGCGTGTTTCCCCCCCTGGGGTGCCAACTGTAAGAGCGTGTTTCCCCCTGGGGTGCCAACTGCATAAATAAGTATCGCTTCGGGCAAGGCTTGACGTACCACTCACTCTGACGTCATCTTCTGTCTCTTTGTGACTCAGATTTTCAGAGTCATTCCGACAGCTGGTCACGACCTTGCTTGAATTTCATGTTGATGAGACCAGCACGACAGGTTAGCCAGACTGTATTTAGCCTTTACAGGAAGGAAGTGAGAGAAGATTAATGGCTTAGACACATTATGAAAATAATAGTGAATGTTTAAAATTAAAATTTAATATATATATAAATTTTATTTTATTTTTAAATTCCATTTATTTTCGTTTGTTTTAATTGCTACATTATCTTTAAGTTTTGTTATAAAATAATTAGCTATCGTGGGCCGAAACATGTTAGTGACTTCTAGCTCAAACCAATTACTGTTAAGTAGTGTCTAGTTAATATAAAACTAGTTGTTATCGGCCATGACATATAATTTATTCGTATTCCTGTTTCATAATAATAAAGTAGTTCGTAGTTTGTCCGGAAGCACTAGATTATGGTATTACAGAACCATAAACAATGGGTATTTTCCCCGAGCGTGCGCAGTCTCACGTGAAGGGAAGATAAGCGACCATTTTGAAACAGGAAACAGTTCCGAGTGTGTGTGTACGAGCTGTAACCCGATGACCACGAGGAAAGGTCAACGGTCACAGACTGGGAGGTCGACGCCCGCAGCACTGGACAACCGCGGGGAAACAGTTGGGCGTGGCACTTAAAGAGAGGGTGAGGGGGGGGGGAGGAGAAGATACTACAGACGTAAAGATGGGACGAAAGCCTGGGATATTTGCTGGTACTTAGTCACTGGATCACATGACTTTGAAAACGGGTTTAAACAGGGAAGATTACTGGTGGGAAATCGACCTTTTTTTGATGTTTGTCACTTGGGATTCTTCGGTTCTAAGAGCGGCAGCTAACAAACGATTGAGGCGTTGGCTGTAATTACACGACTAGAGCCTTTGATTTTTGGGGCATCACCATGACCATCAGTTCTTGGTTTAAATATACCAGTTCATGGAGATGTTCATTCTTCATTCAAAAAAAAAAAGAAGAAAATTAGCAAAGGATATTTAATGTGTTAAATTTTTGTTCATGATCTGAAGAAAATCTAAGAATTTGGTGACCAAGTCATAATTAATATATATATATATATATATTTATATATATATATAAATATATATAATATATAAATAATATATATATATACGCCATGAACTTACGGTATTTGATTTCAACATCGACTCTCCAAATAAAGAATGTTTAAGTGACCTATAAATACCTCACTGAATCAAATTATAGATGTATTGATCAATTGATTATAAAAAATCAATATAATATTTGTCAACTTTACTCAATCTTATTGTTTTAACGTTCCTTCTTCGTCTGAAAACTTCATAGCTTCTTGCTGTTCTCTGACGTCATCACTTGTTGCTGTTCTATATCGTCATCACTTCTCTCTCTTCTATAACGTCATCACTTCTTGTTCTCCTATTTTGTGATCACTTCTTGCTGTTCTATAACGTCATCAATACAAGCTTCAATTAAGCCCTTTTCTATAACCGAATCATTTTTAATTTTTTTTTTAAAATTCAGCCAGGTCTTTTTTCTTTAAAAGTTCGTACCAATTCGACCCTGGCGTGGTAGATCGTTGAACTCTCGCCTTTGAAAGCCGGCTCTTGGCGCAAAGGCAAGAAATCTAAATTTTACGAACGCAATCTGACCCTCTTTGTTGATATCTGCCCTCTGTTCCCCAGGCATCGCCATTCACCGGTGATATTAAATGCCGTGGACACATGCAAACGCTGCACTCAATGGCCTGATCGCCCGTCATTAATAATTTGTAGCTGTGGCTTAGGCGGTCAGCTCCAAGGCGTGATAATGGTCCGCCAATCTTTAGCCCGCAGAACACGTGCAAGGATAAAGAGATCAATTTTAATCTGACTCAATTTGATACCAAAAAAAAAAAAAATCTTCATTTTTAAAAGACTGACCTTAAGCTTTTTGAAAAACAATCCAAAGAAACATGATAAGAATTAATCATAAATGATCACTCGGTTCTTAATGTGCATGTCCTGGATTGTGTCGCCCAAAAATTTCTAAGGAACGATCGAATTAATAACTGTTCGAGTTATGATGAAGAAGAAAAAAATTGTCCTCGAAAATCTAAAATAAAAACATTATTTCCTTGTGCGCGCAAAATTATGGTGGCTAAAAATGAAAAAAAAAAATATAAAAAAAAACTGGAACCAAATACTGTTTGAACTCCAGGCCGCACAAAAAAAAAAAAAAAAAAAAAAAAAAAAAACAGAAACCAAAAACTTTTTAAACCCCAGGCCCAAAAAAAAAAAAAAAAAAAAAAAAGTTGCAGGCTACTTTGAAAAGCTCCAGCTCTAGCAGCGTAAACATGAAGAGGTAATGCCTCACAATGTCGCGATACAGGACCGGACAGGCCGTTGGACTTTGTCAGCCCCAAGATGTTGAGATCAATGTCAAGGTCCTATCTGACCTGAATGTTTCACTGCTCCACGGCAAGTTCAGATCGATCTTTAGTGCGTGTTTCCTGTTAAATTGACATTCTTGACCCTGGTCTGGACGGGGCTGGGAGACATGGCGTATGAAATGAACGAAACAAAAAAAAAAAAAATGAGTGTGATGCTGTTAGTAAAGAAGTTCGTTCAAGTCGTCCACTATCCAGAAAATGATGCTTGTTTTATTTTGTCACCTATTTAATGGTGGGCAGTGACGGGGCGGTAGATCAGACTTCTAAGAAAAAAAACAAAGCCGTGTTCTTACCTTCTGTTGCGCACTAAAGGGGGAAACAATTGGTCTATGTGAATCTAGTCGCAATATTACGTTTACGCCAAACGAAAGCGGTAGAGTCATTGAAATAATGAATTAGACACATTTTATGACAAACTAATATAAATAAAGCAAAATAATTGTTATTTCCAGGGCCGGCCCTAACAATTGCGGGCCCTATGCGAAACGGATTGCCGGGGAGGGGAGGGGGGGGGGGGGGGGGGGGCAGTCTGGGAGGGATAAGGATAATAAGTGAAAATTAAGATTTTGTATTAGAAAGTGGGGCCTATGAAAGTGCGGGGCCCACTGCGGCCGCATAGGTTGCAGTTGCCCTAAGGCCGGCCCTGGTTATTTGCACAAACCAAAATGAATTAGCTAATGAGAGAGGGATAGTATTGGCAACATGCATCAAGGGGCAGGACATTGATTAGATTTGAACTATGAATGGGTTTGGGTGTTGGGGTGTAGGGTTTGGAAAGGGGGGGGGGTGTGGATTGGTCGAAAAAATGCGTTTTTGCGTAAGTTGTATGACGTTCATAGATAGTTTAACATCTGACGTCATTATTCTGAAAGGAAAAAAAAAAAAAAAAAAAAAAAAAAAAAAAAAAAAAAAAAAAAAAAACAAAAAAACAAAAAAACGGTGGGGACTGGAGTTCAGACCTGTGCTCTTCCAATATAAAAAAAAAAAAAAAAACAATAAAAAAATTAAACCCAAACAACCAAAAAAAAAAAAAAAAAAAACCAAAAAAGAACAACAACCCAAAAACCACAAAAATATAAGTCCACAAATTTGTGATTACTGACTACGCCAAGTGGTAGTGCCGTGTTACTGAAAGCAGTGGTCCAAGGACAGGCACCGGTCCGCCAGCCCACAGCGGACGGTCCCGAACAGGTGAACATTTAATGTGACTGAATATAAGGGCACTAATATGTGCCTGAGTTCCAGCTGCCAGCCAACTTCATAATTCTCTCTAGTCCGTCACACTCAATCTACGTTTGAGAACCTCTGGGCTAGCATTCATTTCACGATGGCATATGTTCTGATGATATTTATTTTAAAAAAAAATAATAAAGTTTCTACCTTTTTTTAAGTGAGTGATTCGCGTATGACGTAGAGATACAAGATCACTTAGGTGAAACTCATTGTGGGTAGATTAAAATATAATATTATTTAAAATTTTGCATTTAAAATGAAATCAATGATGATTTTAAGTTAGAAATGATGAAGAAAACGAATAATATTAAGTTAAGATTTAAGATTTCACTTCATCTAAATTATATTTAATGGATATTTTTTATTTATTTGACGTCTTGTCAGTAGATTGTTCTTAAACTTCGACATGTTCTAGGAGTAATGTAGATGAATTGTTCAGAGAAAAGCCTTCATATTGCCACCATTCATAGAATGCTGAGCAATTCTGCCTCAGGTACGTCAAAGAAGTGCCATGATTTAACACACAAAAAAACAACACTTTTAATAGAATGGACGTATTAAAAATATATTAATAAAATTAAAAAAAAAATACTTAGTAGATTTTTCTTTTATCTATATTTCATTTTGCGGATTACTTAGTATATCGCTATTTTACGGGGGGGGGGGGGGGGGGGGTGTTGTTGGCTATCTGTGTTAGGAAGATGGGTGATGAGATGGACTTGTTGAGACGTAGCTTATCTTGGCTGCCTTAGGCCTTAGGAAGATGGCTGATGAGATGGACTTGTTGAGACGTAGCTTATCTTGGCTGCCTTAGGAAGATGGCTGATGAGATGGACTTGTTGAGACGTAGCTTATCTTGGCTGTCTTAGGAAGATGGCTGACGAGATGGACTTGTTTAGACGTAGCTAACCTTGATGGTTAACCATTTTCTGGGGTCGGAGAGGTAAAAACGACAGATACGGAAAAGTTACGACAGGGATTTTAAACACAATGGGGAAGGAAATGTGTGCGACATAAATTTTCATGCATGCTCGGCTTATGACGTCATGTGTTTAAATCGGATTCGATACCAGGAGCCGAATTCGAAAAGTTCATCCGGTCCTTTAGAGGAGAGGCATGCCGGCTAGATGTTATGTAAGCCACTGTTTGTCTTCATGTCAAGGTGAAGGTCGTGAACTTTAAGCAGGTATTCATTTACCTTTAAGTCTTAAACACGGGACCAACAATTGTCCTCCCTTTCATATGGACGTAAGTCAGAGCACGACCAAGGAATGAAATTAGCGCGTGGCAGGGATCGGGCAGACACTAGGGATTATATTTGCGTATCCCAAGGTGGACACACAACACACACAAAAAAACAAGATGATTGATTAAAAAGGTTCACGTTATTGCCGATAATCATCTAGTGGGAAACTATAAAATTATGTTAACATGTGCTCCCATTATTAGGTCTAAATATCCAGTCCGGAGCTAAATGTGTCCACTTTTTAAACATGTCAAAATGTCCCATTTAGTGATGGGTAAAGGGACCTTTGTTTAAACACCAGATTTAACTGTGACCTCCATTTCCGGATTCAATATATGGGTCACGGATGACCTTTCAAACAGCTCGTTAGTGTGTAAGAGGGCAGTAAAAATAACATCGACGACATTCAAGTGAATGACCTATTTAAACGAATGACCTATTCAAATGAATGACCTATTCAAATTACACGAATTCTTGAGGGAACAAGGTAGAAATTAGGGGAAAACCGACCAAAAAAAAAAAAGAAAGAAAATAGGGCAACAGCAGAGAACAAAACATTCCATGGGTTTGCACTTAGAGACCCCACTGAGGGATTCTCAAACTTTTCTTTTACTTACAGCACACCATTTGTAACGGTGTTAAAATGAGTGGTGTACGGCGTCTTTATTACAATGTGAATCTTAACAATCGGACGGGATGAAATGTTCCAAAATGGTTTGTTTATATGAGATTGTGAACATGTTTGTACATCAATACTTGTGTACGTTTAAGTACAGATTCATTTTAAAATGTAAGATGTTTTTTTTTTATGAAGTAAAGGAAAAAAAAAATTTGAATAAATACTTTTGTGTAGAGACTTCGCAATGCTAACATTAAAAAAAAAAACAAGATAAACTTTACAATTTATTGAAAGTACATATGTTCACATACATACATATCCACCAGTGACTTAAGGTCGCAGGCATTGGTCAGACTGAGAATCAATATTCAATATAAGATAATATTCTTATCACTTATTAAAACATCCAACCTTTTAGACACGCTATTTTGTTTAAAAATGTCTGTCTGTCTGTCTGTCTTATATCTACACCTTACTGAAGTTTAAAAAAAACAAATATTTCCCGGCGCCACGCATACTTGGTCATGTGACAAGCAGGCAATGACGCAACACTGAAAAGGTCAAACCATTCATGATTCCCCCCCCCCCTTTTTTTTTTCCAGACAAACTTAGAAAGTTGCAGCTTTGAAAGAAAATCCTTAATAAATTATTTTTCAAAATTTGAGTTTTATAAACAGCAAAACAGTTGAATTGCACGAAATGACATGACATCAGGTCAATACATGGATATTTTCCTAATCCAAAGGAGGAGCAAATCTTTAAAAATGTTTACCCCTACCCCCTTTTTTTCCCCTCTCCTTTGTCCACAAACAAAAATAAACTAAAAAAACCCCGACGACGTCTGTGCCATAAAAATTGTTGTGTCAATAGCCATTTCCTGTTTATGTGGGGGGGGGGGACGACTCTTTCGGGCTGGTCACAGCGCGGTGATGGGTTGTCTATTTGCACAACGTAATATTAAATAGCCAGTAGGTCATGACCAAACAATGGGCAGGCATGGCGGAATGCTGACGTCCGAGGTTTAAGCCCCGTCTTAAGGGGCCGTGTCTCTCCTGTGTTGTTTTGGGGCGGGATGGACCGCTTTCGCTTTCAGGATGAACGGCCGCGCTCCGTGTGGGTGAGTGCAAAATGTGAAAATTGTTGAAATACTTCGCGTCGTCGTTGACAGCGCAAACACAACTGCTGTGACCTCAGTTGTGTGCTCAAAGGGTGGAGTTCGAACATTTCATGAGTTGTGAATCTTCACCTCGGTAATTAAAAAAAATTAAGAAAAAAAATCGCTTAAGCTTCACGTCAAAAGATTGGTGAAAATAAAGGCCACGGAGGCGCATCTATAGGGAGTCATTGGGTGTAACTCAATGAGACCCAATGGCTCAGTACCAGGTTAGCCCATGGAGAAGTTTTGGAATGGGGACAGTGGGTGGGACCCCCATCCTACACCAGTGATTGGGAACCCGATTTCGCCAATATGATAACATATCTATCTGTTGGTATGTTTCTGTGTTGATATGTTTAAATGTTGATATGTTTCAATGTTGGTAGGTTTCAATGTTGGTATGTTTCAATGTTGGTAGGTTTCAATGTTGGTAAGTATATAATGTGTGTATGTATAAATGCTGCTATGTATTAATGTTGATATGTTTCAATCTTAGCATGTTTCAATTGTTGGTATATTTGAATGTTGTACCAGCTACGTCACGTCAGGACTAATGTCTCTATTATTTTACATGTTAGTTCATACTCTTTGTTCACCTAAAGTCGTGGTTCTCAACCTTCCTATTGCCGCGACCCTTTAATACAGTTTCTCATTCTGTGGTGTCCATCATCCATAAAATTATTTTCGTTGCTTTTGCATAAATATGTGTTTTCCGATGGTTTTAGGCGACCCCTGTGTAAGGGTCGTCAACCCCTAAAGGGACCGCGACTCACTGGTTGAGAACCGCTGAACGAAAGATAAACATACATTGTTGGAAGTAGACAAGGTACCCGATTGAATGGACCAAAAAATAAAATGACGTCACGTAGCTGAAAGCTCAAAATGAGTAACGTGTCTGACGGTGGACCTAGGATCCTTGTTAAAGAAAAGAAACGAATTACTAACAGAAATAAAAGAAAGAATATCAGCCGGAAACAGGGCATACTTCAGTAGTCAGAAAATACTCAAAAGTAAAAACATTACAAGAGAAACAAAGAAAACTATTTATAAAACTGTAATTAGATCAGTTTTAACATATGCAAGTGAAACCTGGACCCTAACAAAAATAGCACAAAACCTATTAAACACAGGGGAGGGGAAAGTTCTCAGGAAAATATATGGGTCAACAAAGGATGAATATGGATGGAGAATACGAACCAACTATGAATTATACAGTCTATATCAGGATCCCACGATAGTAGTAGAAATAAAAAAGAGGCAGGCTACGCTGGGCAGGACACCTAGAGAGAATGCCAAATGACAGAGGAACGAAGAGGGTACATCACCAATACCCCAGAGGAAAAAGGCTCAAAGGCAAACCTAGGCTTAGGTGGATAGATGATGTAGAAAAAGATCTACAGCAGCTGAAAGTCCAAGCATGGAAAAGAAAGGCATTAGTTAGGTCTGGGTGGAAGGAAGTAGTGAGGCGGGCCAAAGCCCTACATGGGCTGTAGCGCCATAGGGATGGATAATGTCTGACGGTGGTCTCATGTGTCACCTTCTCTGATGTCTGTCAAGCTGACAGATGGGCGTGGCTAGGTGAGTTGAAGAGATCGTATGTCGACCTCAAAGACGTGTGAGGGAGGTGGCACCATTGATTAATTTGAAGCTGTGTTTAAAGTTTAACCAGCGGTTCTCAACTCGCCCATTGAAATCATACCATGAAAGGATTCATGTACGGCACCATCGTTTTATTTGGATGTTGTTGTTTTGTAACCACAAGGGCGTGATATCGGTTCGTATAGAAAGAACGAAAAAGGGCGTTTCTCCCTGTATACGTTTCGACCGGGAAAATGCTATAATATTACATGAGACAAATGATCTTCGGGTGTTTGGTCTAGTGACCTACTGACATTTATCCGAACGACATTTCAGTGACCGGCCCTTTGACGGACATACTGTGTGTCCAGGATGAAAACATAACGGGCGATACCTTTGTACGGTACCTTGTTAATTTGATACGGTTGTTCTTTCGCGATTTAATGGCAACCAAAGCAAAAGGTTACTTATAGATAACTGATGTATGGCTTCATATTTAGATGCCTACTGTATGGCTTCAGCTTTAGATGCCTGCTTTATAACTTCAGCTTTATATGCCTGCTGTATGGCTTCAACTTTAGATGCCTACTGTATAACTTCAACTTTAGATGCCCACTGTATGGCTTCATATTTAGATGCCTACTGTATGGCTTCAACTTTAGATGCCTGCTGTATTGCTTAACTATAGATGCCTACTGTATTGCTTCAACTTTAGATGCCTACTGCATGGCTTCAACTTTAGATGCCTACTGCATGGCTTCAACTTTAGGTGCCTACTGCATGGCTTCAACTTTATATGCCTGCTGTATAGCTTCAGCTTTAGGTGCCTACTGCATGGCTTCAACTTTAGATGCCTGCTTTATGACTTCAGCTTTAGGTGCCTACTGTATGGCTTCAACTTTAGATGCCTACTGTATGGCTTCAACTTTAGATGCCTACTGTATAGCTTCAACTTTAGATGCCTACTGTATGGCTTCAACTTTAGATGCCTACTGCAAGGCTTCAACTTTCGGTGGCTACTGTATGGCTTCAACTTTATATGCCTACTGTATTGCTTCAACTTTAGCTGCCTACTGTATTGCTTCAACTTTAGCTGCCTACTGTATGGCTTTAACTTTAGCTGCCTACTGTATGGCTTCAACTTTAGCTGCCTACTGTATGGCTTCAACTTTAGCTGCCTACTGTATGGCTTCAACTTTAGCTGCCTACTGTATGGCTTCAACTTTAGCTGCCTACTGTATGGCTTCAACTTTAGCTGCCTACTGTATGGCTTTAACTTTAGCTGCCTACTGTATGGCTTCAACTTTAGCTGCCTACTGTATGGCTTCGACTTTGAAAATCTTCTGACATTATCCCCCACGCCCCCAAAATCTCTCATATTTCACCCCTCGATTTTTTGGTGACGTGGTTGGCAAGGTGGGTTGTTACTGGGGGATTGGACATTTGGCGGGGAGGGGGGGATACCCCTTTTTCTTTTGCGAAGAATCTATCTGTTATCACTAATCTGTTTTAGCAACAGTTCCAGTAGGAATCCTTGAAGGAGTTGTCACAGGGTTAATAAGAAAACCCGAGAAAAAAGTATGCGATGACCTAAACCAGGCCCGCACAACTCACAATGTAAGGCGGGCCGTAATGCTTAATAAAAAACTTGTGCGGGCCGAAAGAAAATAGGACCGGGGTGTGGGGGGGGGGGAGCTATTAAGAAACTAATAATAAAAAAAGAATATTTCGTTACTTCGCAAAGTGGGTGCTGGCGGGCCGCATGCAGCCAGAGGGCCTTATGCGATCCGCAGGCCGTATGTTGTGCATGCCTCACTTTAGTCATTGAAAAAACAAACAAAAAAAAACAAAAAACAACAACAACAGAAAAACAAAACAAACCACAAATTCCAAGGAAGGTATAATTTTGGTTTTAAAAATTGTTATTTTACACACATGATACTAATCTACTAGATGAACAAGTTTGTCCATAAAAGTGCTTATGTCATTGGCCGGTGAGAAACTATCACAAGGACATTGCCTTCTTTGTTCAACAGCATTACTGCACGCTCTTTGCTAATATGTAGTCAGAGATAGAACACTTTACAATATTTATAATCCTAAGAACACACAGCCAGACGTTATAACGCACCATTGAATAGCTTTCTTTGAGCTTTTCAACACGGACCAAAATAAACACCGGGTGTCTTTAGCTCTTTTCAGCTATTTTTGGGTCGTTTCAGCTATTTTGGGGGTGATTTAAGCTATTTTGAAGCTTTTGAAAACTAATTATACTTCCTGATGCCTTTGATGTTTAGATAAGACAGCATGAACAATTAGCCCACGATCGGTGATATTATTCTACTTTTCATCAAATTATTAATACTTTCTATGACTTTGGAACAAAACAAAAATATCCAAGATCAGCTAGTTGTGTAATTAGCACCATATAAAAATGAAGTCGAAACGAAAATAAATGGAAATCTGCCAAAAATGTACAAACCAGGCATGCACACTGTTCAATGGCGAGTCATTGTAGAAACGGGTTGGTGCGTGTGAACCGATTCTTATTTTATTGATACATTGTCATATACTTCGTACGTGCTGTCCATCGAGTGAGTCTACCAGTTGAGGTGAATAATTCAGCCATTTGTCATTTATTTCTAAAGACCGTAATTGCCATAGGTCGAGACTTTTCATGGTACACTATAACAGATGATTTGCTTAGATACTCACTGTGCAAATTGCCCATCAGTGGCATAGCAAATAAGCTCCAAAACTTTTCACGTTAAAAAATCAGATCAATCGCCACAACGAAAGTACATGGTCGGGTTTTTATTTTATTTTTTTTTTGGTTGTGTACCAAAATCTTTCTTTAACATTTAAGAAATGCCTCACAAGGAAATACGCTCTTCAAAATAAATTTTTATTTTAATTATTTTTTTTCCGTTACATTTATGCACTTGTTAATCTTTGGTTCATCTTTTTTTCCTATGGCCTCAAAGTCCTCGTCAGAGTGGACTCAAGTCAACGTCAAGATGCCAAACACAGAAACACTGTTACTCTAATTTGGTCTGTTACCAAAGTTACTGGTTCAGAGCGATTTCGGATCCTTCACAGCTACCAAAGTTTGAATGTTCCTGACATCTGCTCACTCGTCCACAAGGCAAACCTCGCCAGCTCCTCGTCTGTGCTTACCAATCAACGGAAGTGCACGGTCCGCTGGTCTCACGGGCATAACCACATGGCTCCGGTCTGCTGCGACAAGGGTCCGAAATAAGGAAACATTTTTTAATGGCCAAAAGGGGCTCTTCCCTAGGGGTCTGTTGGGTTCTCTCACGTCGACCTTTTAGTTAAATGGACACATTTTTTTTTCTGTTGACTTTCTTCAACAATCGTCAATACAAATACCATGGATTTACCAGACACAAAATTCTGACCTAATTTTGGTTGTCGTCTGTCATCGTTGGTGGTCTCAAGTTCACTAAGGAAACATACTAAATATTAAGAGTTTTTTTAATTTTTAAAAAAATATTAAAATCTTGTTCTTATTGAGGTTATTGCTATAGATGTTGATTACGATGATACTAATAACGTCACATTAAAGATGGCGTCGGTGGGTCGTCGGACGCGAGCTCATAATACCCCCCCCCCCCAGGCACACCCCCAAACGGACCGACGCCGGGTCTCCCCGCCACCAAACCGTGCGGAAGCACGTCGGAAACCTCCCCCCCCCCCCCGGTCTGGGGGACGTCCGGTCGGCCGAAAACGCTGCGTTTAAAGCGTTCGCGGTCCACTCTCCCGAAGATCAGAGCGGCTTTGCTTCCACTCCGGGGGAAATGTGTTGCGTTACCTTCCCCCCACCGTCCAGGGAGTTGTCCGGTCGGGACGAAAGTTGGGACGAAACGGTCGCTTAGGAGCGGCTTTCTCAGGGCCGCGTAGCTAAAATCATCGGTGTGGGTTTTAACCGCCACCCAGACCTCATATCCATTAACGGCAACAAGTTTTCACGATATTGCGTTACTTTTTGCGTTGGAAGTCACGCAAGTGGTCGGGGTTTTTGGCGGGGGGGGGGAGGGCAACCTCCCTACTAGTCAGGCACGCCACGAAGAGGCAAACCCCATGTGACACCTCCGAGTTGCCTCGGTGGCGCGGGACTCTGACTTAGAGGCGTTCAGTCGTCGCCACCCCTGGATTACGATGATACGAACAGGTTGAGGATAATTCTATAACACAGACGAATTAAATACTGCTATCAATTATTTTGTAGTACGTTACTTTATATTTGTAAAGAAGCAAGCATGATTTGAACAACGAAGTGTTGCCACGTCAGCGAAACAAGCAAACATACAAGCGGTAGAGGGAAACTTGAAAAAGGACAACACACACACAACATGAAAAAGCACTCGGCAACAAAGAAACATAGAGACAGAGACAAACAGTCCTGTTATGTTGTAAGGTTATGTGGTTAACATGAAATGGTATACTATAGACCTATTCACTTACGGGGGGGGGGGGGGAAGAGTGTCATTAGATAATGGAAGAATGGAAACAGCGTCAGAACACAGATTCAATATTCACAATGAATTATATAACAAAAGTTACATTGAAGTAGATAACAAAAGTCACGGTGAAGTAGATAACACAATTCACAATGAAGTAGATAACAAAAGTTACAATGAAGTAGATAACACAATTTACAAAGACGATTTTCTAGAATTTTACCGTAGTTTTTACGGGAGTCTGATACATGGGAGGGGGGAAGTGTTTTCACCATGACTTAACATCAATTGTCAAATGGAATATTTTGTTGCACACTACTGGTGATAACTGAAGAGGTCAAGTAGTATGAATGGATCAAAAACTCCAAATGATATTTAAAAAAAAAAAAAATATTCCGTACACTGGACATATCACATCTGGCTCGAATATTCTTTTAAGTCATGGGAATGCACAGTGCACAGTGTAGTAGTTACGAGGATGGTTTGGAATCTCATAACTCAGGGTATCCACAGACCATTAGAGAAAATAGTTTGACAATTCTTAAGTCAGGGTATGCACAGAGCATATTAGAGAAAATGGTTTGACAATTCTTAAGTCAAGGTATGCACAGAGCATATTAGAGAAAATGGTTTGACAATTCTTAAGTCAGGGTATGCACAGAGCATATTAGAGAAAATGGTTTGACAATTCTTAAGTCAGGGTATGCGCAGAGAATTAGAAAAAAATGGTTTGACAATTCTTATTTCGGGGTGTGCACAAGACAAAGTGATTGCAAAACACTGCATTTCTCGATTAAAAGTTTAATAATGATGTTAATAGTGTTTCAGATCAAATAATTTTTCGCTTTCAATTTTTAAGTTCAAATACATCTATTTCTCTGTCCATGTGTTTAAAAAAATTATAATTATAGAATGAAAATGTTTAATGTAATTCACAACAATTCTCTAATTGGTGAATCAATAAATGAATCATTTTTATTTTTATGTTGTGCGTATCTCATCTATATCATCTTGTTTTAATATTATCTCAGGTAAAACTCGTTAGCTGCCTCTATTTATTCCTAGCGCCATTGCTAGGTTTGTTGCTTATAATAACAATTGGTAACTCAACCCAAATGGTAACCTCCACTTGGCTGCACTACTAGTGATGTTACTTGTCATAAAAATGTTACAAATTTCAACCCAAATGGTAGCCTCCACTTAGCTCCACTGCTAGTGATGTTACTTGACATAATGATACGAAACTTAACCCAAATGGTAACCTCCACTAAACTCCACAGCTAGTGATGTTACTTGACATAATGATACGAAACTCAACCCAAATGGTAACCTCCACTTAACTCCACTGCTAGTGATGTTACTTGACATAATGATACGAAACTCAACCCAAATGGTAACCTCCACTTAACTCCACTGCTAGTGATGTTACTTGACATAACCATGCTGCGAATTTCAACCCAAATGGTAACCACCACTTGGCTCCACTTAGCTCCATAGCTGTGGATACGAAATCTAATGAATGAATGAATGACCAGCGCGCCGACCCGTGGGTTTGTTGGTAGTGGCTGTGATACCGTGACAGGTCACATGCAGGTCATGACACGTCCTCGGACAATGACCTTTCGTCCAGGCGCCCCCCCCCCCCCCCCGTATGGCATCCCGTCTGTCCCCAAATAGCCCTGGCCTAGAGCTGCCGTTGGTGGAAACAAGAGATCTGAAATGTCCTGTTTNGGTTTGTTGGTAGTGGCTGTGATCCCGTGACCGGTCACATGCAGGTCATGACACGTCCTCGGACAATGACCTTTCGTCCAGGCGCCCCCCCCCCCCCACCGTATGGCATCCCGTCTGTCCCCAAATAGCCCTGGCCTAGAGCTGCCGTTGGTGGAAACAAGAGATCTGAAATGTCCTGTTTGTAGAAATTTTAGTTAATTTTAGAAATGACTTTGTCTAGAGTTTACTTTTTTTAAATATTAAGTCAAGACCGCACACCTGGAGACATTTTGTATTATTGAGTATACGTTAACTCATTTGATTCGTATAGTACAATAGTATAAACAATATAAACATATGAAACATAATCCGTTTTGATTAGTATGCTCTCGTTTGTATTATCATTCTATGCGGTGTAATGCTTGCTGCGCTTAAAAAAATCGATACATTAAAAAGTGTTCAAATATTAATATTAAACTTTACAACATATGTTTCTCGTTAGGTAACGTGTGTGTCTCAATGAAGTCTGTACAGCACAGGTTGTGTTTGGTCCTGTGTGTGTCTCAATGTCATGAAGTCTGTACCGCTCATGGTGTTTGGTCCTGTGTGTGTATCAATGAAGTCTGTACAGCTCATGGTGTGTTTGGTCCTGTGTGTGCCTCAATGAAGTCTGTAGTCTGTACTGGGCATGCTGTTTTTGGTCCTGTGTGTGTCTCAATGAAGTCTGTAGTCAGTACTGGGCATGCTGTTTTTGATCCTGTGTGTGTCTCAATGAGGTCTTTAGTTTGTACTGGGCATGCTGCTTTTGGTCCTGTGTGTGTCGCAATGAAGTATGTAGTCTGTACTGGGCATGCTGTGTTTGGTCCTGTGTGTGTCACAATGAAGTCTTTAGTCTGTACTGCGAATGCTGTGTTTGGTCCTGTCTGTGCCACAATGAGGTCTGTAGTCTGTACTGGGCATGCTGTGTTTGGTCCTGTGTGTGTCACAATGAAGTCTTTAGTCTGTACTGCGAATGCTGTGTTTGGTCCTGTGTGTGTCACAATGAGGTCTGTAGTCTGTACTGGGAATGCTGTGTTTGGTCCTGTGTGTGTCGCAATGAAGTCTTTATTCTGTACTGGGCATGCTGTGTTTGGTCCTGTGTGTGTCGCAATGAAGTCTTTATTCTGTACTGGGCATGCTGTGTTTGGTCCTGTGTGTGTCGCAATGAAGTCTTTATTCTGTACTGGGCATGCTGTGTTTGGTCCTGTGTGTGTCGCAATGAAGTCTTTATTCTGTACTGGGCATGCTGTGTTTGGTCCTGTGTGTGTCGCAATGAAGTCTTTATTCTGTACTGGGCATGCTGTGTTTGGTCCTGTGTGTGTCGCAATGAAGTCTTTATTCTGTACTGGGCATGCTGTGTTTGGTCCTGTGTGTGTCGCAATGAAGTCTTTATTCTGTACTGGGCATGCTGTGTTTGGTCCTGTGTGTGTCGCAATAAAGTCTTTAGCCTGTACTGGGCATGCTGTGTTTGGTCCTGTGTGTGTCGCAATGAAGTCTTTAGTCTGTACTGGGCATGCTGTGTTTGGTCATGTGTGTGTCGCAATGAAGTCTTTAGTCTGTACTGGGCATGCTGTGTTTGGTCCTGTGTGTGTCACAATGAGGTCTGTAGTCTGTACTGGGCATGCTGTGTTTGGTCCTGTGTGTGTCGCAATGAAGTCTTTAGTCTGTACTGGGCATGCTGTGTTCGATCAACTGAAAGTCTCAGAGTTCTAGGAAAGCTTCCTAAGACCACGGGCGAACTATTTAATAATGGACGCACCCACGGGCTTTTCACCTAATTGCTGCAGCCATTTATGTTAAAACAAATCTTTAGTTATCTCATCTTCTATAATTTGTGTAAATAAATCAAAATATAGCTTCTGAAGTTCACACGTGGTGTCCTTTTTAAGCCATACATACATTACCATACAAATCTGCATACATCGGTTCACAACGCATAATGCCGCCATATGTTCTTGCTAAGCGCGGGATATTGTCATTGCTACACTTGAATCTACTAGCCACTGCGGACCTGTTAATCTTTCTTCTCCATACCCGCTGTCATGGAGCATCGCGAGTGGTGCTGGACTCTATCTGGTTTGCCAAGGAGCATCGCGAGTGGTGCTGGATTCTATCTGGTTTGCCAAGGAGCATCGCGAGTGGTGCTGGATTCTATCTGGTTTGCCAAGGAGCATCGCGAGTGGTGCTGGACTCTATCTGGTTTGCCAAGGAGCATCGCGAGTGGTGCTGGACTCTATCTGGTTTGCCAATCAAGAATGATCCAATGCCAACTGCATCATTCATTTTTAAATATTTTGATAGATGAATTGACTTTTTATATCCACAGATCAGGGTTCCTCGCACTGTGAAGTTCACGTACCCTGCTATGGTTATGTATAATTCAACGGTTTCCAGGAACTAAGAGTTGTCCGCCTAATGGCGTCCTAACGTATTTATAGTCAGAATAAATTAAAGACGCGATTCCTCGGTTAGGTGATAAGCCCCCCCCCTCCCCCACCCCCAACATTTTACCACGGTGTTCATTGTAACGAAACTCATGCATAAAGATATCTGACTTAGGAGAGAACTAAGAACGTGTGCACGCCGTGACCCCTACATTTGAATGCAGGTAGAGCTAGAGATTAATGGAGTCTGGGGCTTGATGGAGATTCAACACACACACACAAGCACACAAACACACACAAACAACAACCTTTACGACCTAGAAAAAGATGACTTATTCCTACCATATTCTCTCCCCCCCCCCCAGCCCCCCAGTCCACTAAGCCCGTTGACCAAAGGGAATGAATTAAACATCACGACCACGATGCAGGGACATTAAATTATTGCCCGTACCCAGTGTCAACCTATCCGCCCACCACATCCGTTTATTATCCACCTTTGTCAGAGGGGGAAGTGTGGTATGTCCCTTGACGAGGTTAGCATTTAAATCCTCTATAATTCGGTTACAGAGTTTTTTTAAACTGTTTTAAACCTACCGGCCCCGAAAACCTCCTCATACGACCCAGCATAGAATGAAGATTGAATCATAACAAAAAATATATATATTACATTGAATACTGTTTGATCAGATGAATTCAGATGAATCAATTGAAAAGCCAGTGACACCTGAGATTGGTGCCGTAGAGCTGAGAATCCTGGTGATAACACTGGCGTTGTTGCTCACAATGCTGTTGAGAATAGTACTGACAATGTGGAGGTAAATGTTTCTGACGCGTCCTAAATTATCCCAAACCCCCAGTCACAAGTTACGCCA